ATACCTAAGTTACTAATAATTAATAATAGAATTTCACAAATAAAATATTAATAGTAGTAGTTATAAATTATAATATAATAAAATAGATAATAAATAAAATAATTTAAACTTTTAAATAAATAATTTTTAAAAATTAGTAAAAATATTCACTAAAAATAAATTGACAAAAAATAATTAAATTATTTTAGTATTTTAATTTTTTATTTAAAAATGTAGATTTTGTCGCAAAGTTGTCTATTATTGTTTCTGAATCTAACTGTATATCAGCTTCACAGGTGATACGCATCAGATCTTCCAATCTATCTTCCCCCATTGTGCTTCTTAAACGAGTTTTTATTATTTTTAATTTGGAAAAAGATCTCTCTGGGGAACAGCTTGATACTGGAATAGTCACTCCAATTTTTATAAGCATAAATAAACTTGGAAAAATAGATTTTAGACCAGCTTTACAGAAATCTTGAAAAACACACATTAAACTTGATGAATTTTGCCACCTTTTTAATTGTTCAGATGTAGTATCGTCACAGTTTGAATCGTTCGAGCTAAAACTTGAATTGTCATCATTTAAATTAGGATGCAGATACAATGGCAAAGTTTCATTAACAATTAAATCACAATTTATAAACTGTTCATACTCCCTACGGACATCTTCTAACTTTAATAATGTATTATATACCAAACAAACAGCCTTAAATGCATCTATAGGAATGCTTTTAGGGTTTTTTTTTAATTCTTTTATACGTTTGGTTGATAATAAAGCAAAATCTTTCATTACTTCAATAGTTTTATCAGTAAATCTTTGATTAATTTGTGTTTTGATAATATCTAATGCTACAAAATAAGTATCTACTTTAAACATTTGAATAGGATTTTGTTCAACGTCATCACTACATAATTCCCCAGCCATTTTTCTAACTTTACGTTTTCTTGTTGTCCGCAATGGCTCAAATTCCTCATTCTCATACTTATCATCAAATTCTTTAGCTAATATCAAAATATTTTCAAATGTTTCTTCAGTTCTCAGTGCCACTATGGGCTCTTTAGCACTATTAACTAAATACATCGCTGCTAAAATATCTATGTCACGAGCTTGTAATGTACGGGTTAATGGTTCAAGTATTTCAAATATTTTTTTAAAACTAAGAGCTGTCATTAAAAACCTATAAGAAGTCAAGTAGCTAAGCAGTCCATTACAAACAGCACCAAGTTTGAAATCCGATCCTCCGTCTCTATTTCTCACTTCTTCTATCGTTTGATAAACTGCATCGTAAACATCAAGTACGGTATTTAAGGCATAGGCATGCGACATCCAACGAGTAGTATTTACACGTTTCACTGATCTTATTTGTTGTTTTGGATAGAGTTCTAATTGTTTTTCTCTAAAAAAAGCTGATCGCGCTTTACTTCCAGTGATAAAAGTAAATATTTTTTCTAAATTTCCAAATAGATCCACTGCATTTGAACAAGATCCTACTGCCTGACTAGCTATTAGGTTTAACCTATGAGCAGAACACCAAATAAATAGGGCTTGAGGAGTTTGTTCAAGTATTTTAGCTTGAAGCAAATTGTACTGCCTACTCATGTTTGCAGCCCCATCATATGACTGACCCACTAAATTTGATTTCCAATCAAGATTATGATGATTAAAAACATTTTGAAATAACTCAAAAAGATGAACTCCGGTAGCGCATGGGGATTCTCTTAATGCTAATAATCTTTCCATAACTGTACCATTAGTTTCATTAACATACCTTATGATAAAAGAAACCTGTTCCTTACGGGATATATCAAAGGTAGAATCGAGTGAAACACTGAATATTCTTGATAAAATAATATCAGATTGGACAATTTGTGATATGTATTCTGAAACAGATTCAATTAAAAGATTTTGGCGATCCCAGGAAATAAAAGATGTATCTTTACGTCCTTTTAATTTGAGAGTTGAAACATGAGACGCAAGTGCTGGTGAATGTTCAGATAACAGAAGTACCAAGTCTTTAAAATTACCTCTGAGTTGATCAGTCCAGCGTTCTCTATGCCCTCCAAAAGGCAAACAATGGCGTCCCAAAAAGACTGTTATATCTATTAGTTGTTTCACAATTTCCCTATTAAGAGCTACACTTGATTTTCTGTTTACTTCCAAGGATGGAATTAAGGGTAAAACAGATTCCCTTAATTTAATTTTTAATGAAGCTTCAATATGGGCATTAGTTGTTTCATGGTTAATTACTGCAATGCCTATATTCTTCCAGTGAGAAAATCCATCTTTTACCCAAGCTTTAGCAGTTTTTCTTCCTAATAAAATACAGTCTAAACAAAATATCTTATTTAGCGATGGTGAATAAGTTAACCAGTTTCTTCTTGTTTTAGTTCCATCTGCATGAGTTCTGTAGTACCATCCTGCATGAAAATGCCGTCCATCTTTGTCTTTTAAAAATTCTTTATTTGGTAGTAAATCAGAAGTTGGCTGACATGGTCCCCATTCCACAATCATACTTATAATTTCTGGTGTAAAATGCTTAATTTTTATTCATAAAAAGGGATCATTTTTCCAAGTTGAGGCTGCTGATAATTCAAAAAAATCTTCAGAAGTATTCTCCTATATAATTATTATGTTTACTTAACAATGTTTACTTAACAAATAACTACACAAAAAAAATTACTTAATTTTGAATTTAATAGATTATAGTTATTATTTTCCAAAGTAAAACATCACAATTATTACATAACTATGAATTCAATATACCTAAAACTTAAGTAAATGAATACTACAAATATATAAAAAATGTATTTTTATTTAAATTATTTAATTCAAAACTCATTAAATAACGAATAAAAACAGTTATTATCATTTTATATATAACTTAAAAAAAAAATTCCACCATTGATTCTAAAATTCTAAAATGTTGGTTTAAAAATCGTTCTATTTCTCAGACATTTTAGAATATGTAATCAAAATTCAAGGTTGAAAAAATATTTCTAATAAGGCTTATACTAATCAGTAATCAGTAATCTTAACCAATCTACTTAATACTTATACAATACTACCTATTTATTAAGTATTTATATAAATAATAAACACAGTTATCAATATCTATTTTTTTTTACTAGTCTAATTAAAATATTGTTTTTAATCAAAAATATAATTGCTTACCTCCAAAAGATCTAATTGAGTAGATTCACAATTTTCCAAACAATAGTTTATCCTACTTCTCCTAGTTTCTATACTTGTAGCCTCTAAATACTCAATATCTGTGTATCCAACATTTCTCTTTGAACTTGTAGGGTCTTCATAAACTACAGGCGATTTTTCTGTCATTATGGATTTAAAGAATTTATATAGTAAATTTAGTTGTAAAACAATGAATAAAAATTTACTTTTTAACGCATAAAATGTGCAACAAAAAAATATAATTAAAAATATGTATTTTAAATTGTAGCTTTTTGTATTTTTTCTAATAAATTGTCAATTTTTAATTTTGATTTAGTAAAATACCAATACATTTTAAAATTGTAAGTAGATATAAATAATATTTTTATAATTACCAGCAGTAGGAGTGTCGGTTGGTAAAATGTCACTGACCGATGGTGTTTGATGGTAGTTAATAAAATAAAAGTTTGTGGGTATAGAAATACAAATAAATTTTTTAATATATCATAAAATATTGATAGTTATAATATTACCAATAGGTATATTATATTATATACAAAATAATTACCTATTATTATTATCAATGTACCTATTGTATATAAAATAAGGTGATTTAATTTTTGTAGTTCAAAAATTAATTGACTACAGTGCCAAGGTAATTAAAATATCAAATAAAAGATTTTTGGAGTAAATCCATAATACAATACAATTACTGTTAATTCAAACAACCAAATTAACAACTTAAAATAATTTGAACAATTATGTTGTAATTAATAGGCTTACCATGCAGGTATTTCTACAGTACCTATTTGCTTTTCTTCAAATGAAACACAATCTTTTACTAATATGTCAGTTATATTTTTACATAACATGTCTCCATCAAGATCTAATTAAATAGAAAAATTAATTAATTAAAATATAGGAATTAGCAATTAGATATCTTACTAATTGTTAAATATAAATTAAAATTAATAATAATATTCATAATTATATAAAATTAAGTCTTCAATAAAGCTGCTGAGGTATCCTAATATATTAGTCTGATGATAAATGTCAACCTGAGTGTTATAGACCTAATTCTTTAACGCTTTTAGTTTCAAAAATCTTAGAAATATGTATTAAAAGTAGACATAACAATTTAAAAAAATAAAATATTTTTACTTTGTACTTACGATAATCAAACATTAAACACATGGTGTCATGGTGTTTATATCAAAGTGTTTTATGTAAAAATTTTCATCATGTATTAAGTTCAATTGAATATCATCCATTTTGATTCTTAAGTTGACGACAAAACTCGAAAAATTGATGTGTAAAAAATTTAATATGTTATGATAAGTGACAAATTTAATGACGCTAATTTTGGCGCGAATAATTTTTATCAAATCCATCGGGTTTCATTTCAGTCCATCCGTAAAATAGTCGATTGCTGATAAGTCAATCGGCTTGATTACCTCCCCTCCAACGGATTGGCCATCAGCTGAAATTAGGAACGGTCAAATCCAGCGGCTGACCAATCTGATGAATTTAGGAACACACGGTATGTCTTTGAGCAATGACAAGTTACCGACGACAATCGGATCGTGTTCGCTGTGCGTCGCGAGCATTCGCGCGTGCTCGGGATACCGTCCAAACGATGGAAATTTGTGCGACGCACGGCGTGAGCACACATGATCAGCGTGTGCGTGCTCTCGTGTGGACGAGCCTTAATATTATCACGTCCAGCCGCCTCCGACGACCATCGCCGCCGCCGAACAACAACAACATCATCGCCGTCGCATCGAGATAAGTCCTCCCCGTGTTTATATTATTGTTATACATTATTATTTTATACTATGTTATTATCATATTTAATTATTTGTATGTAGTTTTCAAACAACTTATTTCAATGGGTATTTTAACACTGAACATGTTATGAAGAATACAAACCCATTTACGTTAGTTTTCAGGTACAAATTTTAGTAGTTCTATCCAATACATTTTATTCCTGATTTTTTCTTCGTATTTGTTAATATCGTATACATAGTGTTGATGACACAATTTTTCACAAGAACAGCTTGGATATATAGGCAAATCCATTGAACGTTTCTTGAATATTCTTATTGTTTTCCTAAAGTTAGTTTCCAATTTGCTTTGGTCTGCATTTGAGGACGATGCCTTAGTGTTATATGACTGAGATTTTTCTCGCATGTATGTAGCCAAATCTGTCAGAAATTCAATACTTGTATGTTTTACTGCTAAGTCAGCGTTGGTTATATGATTGTATAGTCGCCTCACCTCATTCACGTGGATGCTCATTCTTGTTCACGTGGCTAACTTCGGCAGTACATTTGCAAAAATCATCCAAAAAATCTGGTAATTGCTTGAACGTGCACTCATGAAATAATAGATAAAAATTTTCTAAATCATTAGCCATGGAATTATCATATTTTTTATCATTACATAAATTATTGGATTACCATTTCTTTTGTAAAAAACTTATCTTATTTTGATGGGCATCGGTTTCCTGTTGTTAATTTAAATTGCCTCTAATGTTTTTGTAAATATCGTCTTCCGGATCGTCTGCTAGATTGTTTTCAACGTACATATTTTTATTTTCTATTATATGGGTGTCAAAACTCATATTTTGGTCTTTATCTTTTTTTATATGTGACTTATAAAGAATGCAACAGAGTATACCGCAATCATTATAATTCGCTGGTGCTGGACAGTAGGAAAAGTAACGCATTCAGTTTCTGCCGGAAATAAGTCATCATTGATCGAACAAATGGAAGGATGCAAAGATTTAATGAATTTTTCTGTTCAATATTCAAGTCCTTGCCGTGCAATGAATCGTAAACATATATATTATCAATATCGTAGTAATAACAAATCCAGTGAAATGATCCATTCAAAATTTGAATGTGTGTATCCGACTGTGGTACAGATATTATATTTTCATATGCTAGAGAACCAGCCGTCATCGCAGGATCTTGCGGGCTATAAAATGTGAATTCAAGAACTAAATAATTGAAATACTCTATATGATCACTATCCACCCAGCTGTCATTATCTATATCATTAAGTATAACTGGCCGGAACAGTAATCTGCTCGAAGAAAAATGGAAAATGTTTTAAAGTTCGATTTTATCATGGTCTCCAAATGAGATTTCATTAAATTTTGGTCATATATTATTTTTTGGGGTTTAAATTTCCAAAAGAGACTGGTTGCAATTGAAATGCAATAAAGATACGTTGGGACTGATGATTCCATGTGTTCAATAATAACTAATTTATTGGCATTTATATGGAATGGAAACAAATACCTCAAAATTTCGATACTCTCATCAGAGGTTGATGACTGAGTCATCTGATCATATATGATAATAGACTGCAAATTGTAATATACGCATATCCAGTGCTCAATCAGACCTTCATTTATAAGAGGAATAATTTCAATATGGGGTTTGGTTTCATCTAATGACTGAACGTTTGTCATATTGGGTTGTAATAGTTGCCGAGTGGTTCAGTTACAGCTGTACAATCAGTATAACTCAATGTAAGTATGCAGCTTATGTAAAAAGAATAGCTACAAATATCAATAAATATATAATGACTTATTTATTAACCATTGATTTATTTTCAAAAAGTATACGAAAACTGATAGCGAGAAGGAGATAACAAACACTTGGGAAATTTGAAAAGTATCGGGAAAAAATGTAAAAAGTTCGGGCGGCCTTGCAATTCAGTGGGCCGCCGTATCGAAACTAGTGATTGCAATCCCGGTCCTATTTTACGATCCCGAGATTACGGGATATTTAGCTATTAATCCCGAGATCCCGGGATTATCCCGAAATTCGGTAAAAAAAATATTTAAAAGCATTATGCATATTTTTGTTTTATTTAATTATTTTAATTATTATGGTTTTTATTATTATTATACATTAGAATTAAATGTTCTACAGATTTTGAAAATATGAACGCAGGAATAGTAGAATGTCTAATGTTCCATCACCCAGTCTGCTTCTTAGCTTATTTCCAATATAGGCTGCTGCTGAAAACGCACGTTCTGACTCGATACTAGTGGGAGGAATAGACATTAAATACTTAAATGCTAGCTCTAAATGATGCCCGCGAGTTCCTCCATTTTCAAACAGATTCATTTCTTTTGATTATTTTAATCAAATCAGTTTCTTTTTGTGTTTGAGTATCAATTGTTCTTTTACTTCTTCCTATTTCAAGCTCCAAATTTTCTTGTAATGTCAATTGAGTGAGTGTAATAGATTCACTTATTGTTTGTTCAATACAATGTTGTTCTTCTTCATTAGGAGTAGGACTAATAGGATTGTATCCTTTCAATTAATTTTATTATTTGTTTTCTAATAAAATCATTTTTAGGGATTGAAAATAAATCTTTCAAAAAGGAATTTGATCATAGTTATCATGAGGATTCTGTATATAATTCAATACGCCAGATAACTCTGGACGTCGCCGTTTTTTTATACGATCACTCAAGCATGTCCTCATTTTATTCGCATGTATTGAATTATTTTCTGACAATTCCTTGAAAATAAATTTAAAAGCAGCATCAGTTGTGCACAAATTGTAATCACGACGACCAATGCTTCCACTGTCAATTTAATGGGGGCGAGTATATCTGTAATATCAGTAATTAAATTATAATCAGAATCGTCTAAACTGACCGAGTGATTTAGATCTATGAGCGATTTTTGAATGCTGGTTTTTAAAAGAATAAAACGTAAGACTATTCCATCTCGTTTTACAATCCAGGACTAGTTTTATTTCTTTTCCATGCTCTGCTTTAACATATTTCTGAAGTATAGTGTCATTTTTTGTCGAAGATCTTTTAAAATATTGTACAACTTTGCGTATTTTTTTTATTACTACATTATTATTATATTCATTGGTTAAATCTGGCATGTCTTGAATAATATCATTTTGCGGAAGAATATTTAAACCTGAATCCAGAAAGTATAATTCTTCATCGTCATCTTCATTATTATCTTCATTTATATCATTTGCAGTTGATTCATCTCGGAAATTTTTTTTATTATAAAGTACATCACAAACAGCTAAATGAATACCATGTGCGAAACATAGCTGGTGTTCAGTGTTAACAAGTTTTCCTACTTTTAACATTACATTTGGTCCATCGGTTACAATTGCGA